CCTGGCTGAAGTCGGACACTTAACCGACTGCGCCACCCAGGCACCCCTTTTTCCTTTATCTTTTGTTTTCAGTAGTTTGATTATGATGTGTCTCAGGGTGTATTTGTTTGAACCATTTTCCTTGGGATTCACTTGGATTCTTGAGTCTGTGTTTTCACTTCTTGCCAAATTTGTGAAAATTTTAGCTAGCATTTCCTCAAATATTTTATTATCCCAAAACTATCTTCTCTTTTAGGGACTCCAGGGACAAGACTGTTACATTTGGTCTGGTCATTTTCTGAATGACTGAAGGGCTGGTCATTTTCTTTCTTACAGTTTATTTTCTTTTTGTAATTTCTATTCATCTGTCTTGAAATTCACTGATTCTTTTCTTTATCATCTTCATTCTCCTACTGAGCACATCAAGTCTTTATATTTTTAAGTTACAGAATTTCCATTGGTTCTTGTATATCTTCTGTTTCTTTGCAAAAATATTCTAATTAAATTTTTTTGAGCTTATTTATTTATTTTGAGAGAGAGGGAGAGAGAGAATCTCAGGCAGGCTCTGTGCTGTCATGCAGAGCCAAACGAGGGGCTCGATCTCACAAACCATGAGATCATGACCTGAGCTGAGATCAAAAGTTGGATGCTTAACTGACTGAGCCACTTAGGTGCCCCTTTCTTTTCGTTTTCTTTTTCTTTCTTTGTTTTTGACAGCATTCATAATGGCTCATTGAAATGTTTGTAAGGTGACTACTTCAAAATCCTTGTCAGGTAATTCCAACATCTGAGTCATGTCATTGTTGGCATCTGTTGATTGCTTTTTCTCATTCTCGTTGAGATTTCCCTAGTTCTTTGTATGATGAGTGATTTTAGGTAGTATTCTAGACATTTTGGGGAATATTTTGTGAGACTCTAGATTGTATTCGATCTTCTTTATTGCAGGGAGTCACCTTGGTAGTATACAGGTCCTGGCCTGCTTTTGTGGGTTGTTCTAATGATAATTTAGTTTCTAGAAACTTTGTGTAATTACCTTATTCTGCTTTGTGTGTATCTTATCCAGAGACCTAATTGAAAGCCATGCATGTATTCCACACTGTAGCTGAATTTTAAAACCTTTTGCTCTTTTAATTTTGGTCAGTTTTATATGCAGCTTATCATGGGTATCTGTTATTTCACGATTTAACTGTTCTTTTTTCTAGTTACCTCCTCCTGCTTTCTGTTTGATAGGTGCCACCTGCTATAGCTGATGGTGTGTTAGTGGAAATCTAGGCTTCCCTCTCACCTTCTGCTGTCACCGTAACAGTGGGGGAAGCTAAACACTGCCTGTTACTATAAGGCTGAAATGGAAGTTCAGTAACACACTCAGCTTCTGCTGTTACCACTACTAAGGGGTAACTGTGTTTTGGAACTTGGCTTTTGGTTGGCAGAGGTAGAACAGGCTTCCCACTGGCTCCCTGCTAGTACCAGGAGGCACATGGAACTCTAGTTCCCTACTTGATTTCCACGGCACTACTGGAGATGGGCTCTGTTTTTTTCCCATTGGGTTTGGCAGGAGTAGAGTTGGCATTGTCAGTAAGGTTTCTGTGCTGCTAGAAACCCTTCTTTTCCTGGTCATTTGGCTAGAGCAAGCAGGTTTTCTTGGCCTGTTTTCATCAGCGACTATTGGCATTTCTGGATTGTAGGATTCTTCAGAACTAAGTCTATATAGTATATGGGAGATGAAAACAAAACTGATGACAGAGTAGAAAATAACCTATACATTTGGAAATAATTCCGTACATCTGTGGTCAACAGTTTTTTGACAAAGTTACCAAGATAGATTCAGTGAGGAAAGAATAGTTTCTTCAACAAATGGTGCTTAGACAACTGGATACCCACATGTAGAAGAAATAAGCTGCACCCCTACCTAGGTATATATATACCTACCATACAGAAAAATAAGCTTCAAAAGACTGAAAAGACTATATGTTAAGAGCTAAAACCATTAATCTTTTAGAAGAAAATATATAGGTAATTCTTCATGACCTTGGACCTGGCAAGTAATTCATAGATATAATATCAAAAGAAATAATAAATATGGCTTCCCAGAAATTTAAAACTTTGTGTATCGAAGTTTATGATCAAGAAAGTGAAAAGACACCTACAAATGGGAAAAAATATTTGTATATTATACATCCAGAAAAGCTCTAGCATCCAGAATATAAAAAACTTCTACAACTCAACAGAAAGTTTATCAAGCCAGTTTTTAAAATGGGCAAAGAACTTGATTAGACGTTTCTTCAAAGATGTTCAGATGGCCAATAAGCACATGAAAAAAATGCTCAACATCGTTAGATATTATGCAAATGTAGATCAAGACCATATTGAAGTACTACCTCATACCTACTTGGATGGCTTCAATCAAAAGAATAGAAAATAACAAATGTTGGCAAGGATTTAGAGAAATTGGAACCTTCATGCATTGTTAGTGGGAATGTGAAATGCTACAGCTGCTGTGGAAAGGAGTTTGGTGGTACCTCAAAAAGCTAAACAGAATTTCTTTTTAAAAATTTGTTTTTTAATGTTTATTTTTGAGATAGAGGCAGACAGATCGCGAGTGGGGGAGGGGCAGAGAGAGAGGGAGACACAGAATCTGAAACAGGCTCCAGGCTCTGAGCTGTCAGCACAGAGCCCGATGCGGGGCTGGAACCCACAAACCGTGAGATCATGACCTGAGCCAAAGTTGGACGCTTAACCGACTGAGCCACCCAGGCGCCCCTCACCTTAGTAGCTTTTTAAAATGACTAATGCTTAGGGCGTTTGGGTGGCTCAGTTGGTTAAGCGTCCGACTCTTGGTTTTCAGGCTCAGATCACAATCTCATGGTTTGTGGCTTCAAGCTTTACACTGGGGACTGACAGTGCAGGGCCTGCTTGGGATTCTCTTCTGTCCTTTTCCCTCTGCGCTCCCCTGCTCGCTCACTCTCTCTCTCTCTCTTCCTCTCATAAATAAAACCTAAAAAAAAAAAGGTGGGTAATGCTTGATCTCCATCCTGGACCAATTTAATGAGAATGGGAGAGGGGTCGGGGAGGTGAGTTGTATCAGTATAAAAAATATTTATATTATTTAAATAGCAGCCACCATTGTGAGTCACTACTTTAAGCACATACATTCTGCCATTTACGAGTTTTGCAAATAGCTTTTTGACCCAGTCTGGCCAATAAGACACGAAGGATAGCTCTTTGTAAAGTAACCTTACTAAGAAGGTTGTTCTTTTCAACATTGTCATGTATTGGTATGAATTTTGATATTGCTATGACCATCTTGGTAACAGCCTACAAAGACAGTTAATACCAGGAATGCAGATAAGAGAGATGGAAAGAAACCTGGTGATTGATTTTATCTTTCATCTGCTTGAATTAGCCAGCTCTGGAGTCTGTTGTACCTCTTTATTTTCTATTATTTGAAAACGTACATGTCCTCATTGTTTTGGCTCTGAGTTTTGATTCTAATATGTAGCTGGAAGCTTCCAAACCGCTATAGCTAGTGAGAGGAAAAAATAGTGGTAAGGTATACCACTATTTACTAACATGTTTCTTCTAATGTTTGTCTTATATAAATAAAACTGTAGTGAACATAGTGGTATGTATAGCTGTTTCGTCATAATCCGGGATTTAATTATTTGTCACTAAGGTTAGAATGCCAAAAGTAGTCAATATTGTTACTGCTCTTAGTGTTTTCAGATTGCTTTCCCAACACATTCTATCTATCTATAATATTAGCAGCAATAAGTAGTTTTTATCTCACTCATTGGATTTTTTGGATTGTTGTTTGCTCAAGGCATGGCATTATAGTTTTCCACTTTTGATTTCTTTTATTACCAGATGTGTTGATTATTTCTCCATGTTTTTATTTATTGGTTACATCTTTCCCCCAAGTTTTTATTTAAATTCTAGTTAGTTAACAAACAGTGCAATACTCATTTCAGGTGTAGAATTTAGCGATTCATCACTTACATACAAATTACATTTCTTTTTTTAGGAAATTACCTAGTCATGCCCTTTGTTCTACAACTTAGTAACTGTGGAACTTAGGGAAGTTATACTTGCTTTTACTAAACAGCAGGATAATAAATGATGCCTACATGATAGAATTAATGTGAGGTTAAAAGGAGGTATTTTTCTAAAGTTCTCTGAATACTTGCATAATTAAAATATTATTTATCAGTTTGCTACAAATAATTTTCATCATTGTTGGGGCTTTTTGATGACTTTATTTTACATGCAGAAATACTAAATTTTATTTAGTTAAATGTGTCACTTTCTAGTCCTAATTTAAATGGAAGAATAAAAACAGTAAGACAAGGGGTGCCTGGGTGGCTCAGTCGGTTGAGCATCGGACTTCGGCTCAGGTCATGATCTCGTGGTTCGTGGGTTTGAGCCCGTGTCAGGCTCTGTGCTGACAGCTCAGAGCCTAGAGCCTGGAGCCTGCTTCGGATTCTGTGTCTCCGTCTCTCTGCCCCATTTGTACTCACGCTGTGTCTCTCTCTCTCAAAAATAAACAAACATTTAAAAAATTAGAAAAAAGCCAGTAGGGCAAATGATAAAGATATATATGTGAGTTAATGTGGCAACAGTATAAAATTATTAAAATCCCATGACACTAGTTTGAAAGCAGAAGCCATTTCAATCAGAGGTTTTCTTTAATGTCATCATATTTTTATATGCTCTTTGAGCCTTCTGAACAAAAATCAAGAGTATTTTTTTTTGTTTATTTATTTTTTAGTAATCTCTACACCCAATGTGCAGCTCAAACTAATGATCAGGAGATCAAGAGTTACATGCTCTTCCAACTGAGCCTGTCAGGGACCCTAAGTCAGACTGTTTTTTAAGTATTATGTAACATGTGAAGTCTTTATTCTCAATCAAGTCATTGGTGTGGGAATAGTTGCCAATTTAATAGAAGAGGATAAAAATTCAGGAGCTCAAAAATGTGAAAGTATATTGCCTATCAGTGTTGATTTCCTTTTCTTTTCTTCTAGAAACATGATCAGGGGCAAGTTTTGTTGGATATAGTCTTCAAGCATCTTGATTTGACTGAGCGCGATTATTTTGGTTTACAGTTGGCTGACGATTCCACAGACAACCCAGTAAGTTTAAGCTGTTCTCTTTTATTTCATTTCAGTTTTTCTCTCTGTTCATAATATAAGGAATTTTTGATTTATAATGTTTACTAATCTGATTAGTGAGTTAAAGTTTTAAGAATTCAATTGGAATGATTAGAGCTAATTCTTCTGCCTTTGTTCCTCATTTTCTTGGTGTTTTAATTAATAAAGTTTTTTCTTGAAGGTTTTCATAATTATAAGTCGGTCTATAAATCTAGTGCCAGTTTATTTATCTCACACAACTCAACTGTAAATCTAATTCATGCTACTTGACTGAGAGAAAATTGGGCATAAAGTTTAAAATATTAATGCAGTATTAAAATATTGAAGTAAGATAGAAATATTTTTGAATGTTAATGTATCTTAGTCTTAATATAAATTAGCCTCCATTAAAGTGAAATTAGTTTTTTGTGGTATTCATGGCAGTCTGATTCTAACAAATTTCTTAATTTGTTAAATGTAAATTTTCCAAGTAGGAAGATTCAAAGGAGACCCTCCCAAATGAGATAGAGATTAAATTTTAGAGCTCTACAGTTACTTGGGCATTAAGTTACTTACATTGTTACTAATTCTTTAATAGTTGCAATCATGATTCTTCTTGTTGGAAAAAATCACATTATAGAAATAGAAGGTAGCATGTGATGAATAACAGAAATATTGAATTCTATGAAAAGTTATATGCTTATACAGATAGGGTCTTTTACAAAAGAATAATGATACTCATTTGATTAGTACAGGAGAGTGTTTTGAAAGAGACCTTTTATATCTATAGTTTAGAAAAATTTGGAGGCTGGACAAATGGGTCTCTGGTTCAGTGCTTTAGAAATTGGTTTATAAGGGAATGTTAATAGAATGGCTATAGAAAATACAAATAACTCTTACATGAAAAGTACAGTTTCTCTCCATGTCTTACTCTTGTTCTCTCATAGTCAGAATCCTAGATCTCTGAATGAATGGTTAACAGAAAGGAATATGGGGAAGCAGAGGTAACCGTGAGATGTTAAACAGTACTTTTTTTTTTTTTTGAAATTTATTTAATTTTGAGAGACAGCAGCATAGGGACAGAGAATCCCAAGCAGGCTCTGTGCTGAGCATATAGAGCCTGACACGGGGCTTAAAACGCAAGATCATGACCTGAGCTGAAATCAGGAGTTGGATGCTTAACAAAGTGAGCCACCCAGGTGCCTCCTAAATATTACTTTTTCTTGGCATCATTTACTGGTTTTGTATGAAAACCTATGAGAATGAGGTGGATAAAACAAAGCAAGAGCCAGCTAGTGTCAGTGGAAGGAAGTACTTTTGTAATGAACTGAAATAAAAACAAACTTTCCATATAAGTTGATGCCTTCACCAGAGATTGGAGCTTCTACAAGGGCCTAGTTGAGTAGTATTATTTCTTGATAAATGAATGTGAAAATGGAAGTGAGTAGAAATGTCAGTTATGCAGCCTTTCCCAGAAAGATAAATTGTGAGCCAGGCAACACCAAAGGTGTCTGCCACACCCCACTTTGTGTGACATACAGCTAATAAAAGTTAGTTGTCTGGTTATCTTGCTGACAGTTATCGGTCACACTCTCCTGCTGGAAGCCTGTCTTTAGAATGATTAGAAAAATGATAAGACAACAAAGGAGAAAGAGCAGCTACTCAGAATCATTGTCCCTGCCATGAGTATGAAAAATCATCCGCTGTGATAAAGTATTCTAGAAGGACTAATACTGAGATCACCTATATTACAAGGGATAAAATTCTGTTACCTAGGGGCACCTTGGTGGCTCAGTCGGTTAAGTGTCTGGCTTTTAATTTTGGCTCAGGTTATGATCTCACGGTTTGTAGGATTGAGTCCCGCATTGGGCTCTGCACTGACATTGTGGAGCCTGGTTCAGATTGTCTCTCTCTGTCCCTCTCCTGCTTTCACACGCACACACACTCTCCCTCTCTCTCTCTCTCTCTCTCTCTCTCTCTCTCTCAAAATGAATAAACTTAAATTCTGATACATAAGTGTGTGTACAGGAGGACATTTTAGCAGGATGAATATGGGGAAGCAGAGGTATTTAGCTGGGTTGATCTTTTTGTAGTCTCCTAATTTTGCTTATTTTGTCTTACTTTTCTATCTTGAGCTTTCCTTTCCAAATAAGATATATTCCCAGGTCCAAGGGTCTATTTGCTAATGACCTAAAATCATTCTTCCCCCAAATTTGGAATTGGAATTTCAAAGACCCAAAAGAAGCCTTAGAAATTATTTTGTCTAGGGGTGCCTGGGTGGTTCAGTCAGTTAAGCATCTGACTCTTGGTTTCGGGTCAGGGCATGATCTTGTGGTTCGTGAGATTGTGCCCCATGTCGGGTTCTGTGTTCAGCACACAGCACACCTGCTTGGGATTCTCTCTCTCTCTTTCTGTCCCTCCCTCTCCCCTACTCTGTCAGTCTGTCTGTCTGTCTCTCTCTCAAGATAAATAAATAAACTTTAAAAAAAATAAAAAAAAATTATCTAGCACCCTTATTTTTTCATGAGAAATTATCCTAATCCAAGGAGATAAAGCCTAAGCTATTGCTGGCATTAATGAAACTAGTCTTGGGTGTCAAAACTCCCTATACAGGTCTTTCCCACAGTACTGCACGTTCAGTATTTAAATACTTAGAAGAATCTGTGAAATGACAAAATGAATCCACGGAAAGCCCTGTGAGGCACAAATGTTGTAAGCAGTGTCCTCTTTCTGATTGTCAATATGAAAATACATCACATCAATACTTTGAGGGTAATTAATGGACTGACAGAAGGCATACCATTCTGAAAAAGAGAAAAGAGGGTAATGTTTGTGAAACATGTACTGTAGACTTGTTTGTAAACCAAATTCTCAATTTTATAAACAAATCGTTAACATTTTTTAAATGAAAAACTGAGGCTTACAAAACTTGTTTAATGACATAGATAATTAAGTCACTGATAATGGTTTTGAACTTGCATTTAGACTCCAAATTATAGTGTACTCTCCCTACCACAAAACATTGCTTCTCAAGAGATGATGATATATAGATGCACAGGATTTAGAAAAATGAACATGTTGAGAAGAGGATGTATCCATGCAATAAAATTGCCAATAGCAATCAAAAGGAATTTGGTTATATTCTAAAAGAATTAATCCGTGTCAATCCTTAGCTGAGATTTTTTATTTAAGTTTTTCTAGTTATATATACTTATATATACATACATGTATGTGTGTTATATATATATGGATGTGGTGTGTGTGTGTGTGTGTGTGTGTGTGTGTGTGTAATAGTTTTAGAGGATTTTGGAGCTAATATTCCCTTAGGCACATAGACATTCAAATTAATTTAATTGGACTTAACAATTGATAAATTATATAGACACCTAATGTTTTATTGTGACATGTACACAACAGATACAGACTCATTTTCTTCAGAATCTGCCTTGGTAAGAGTTCCAGTACAACAAACAAAATTACTTAAAGAAAAGCTTTGACTTTTCAAAATATCTTCTGCTTTCATTAAAACCTATTTGTTGTAGGGGCACCTGGGTGGCCCAGTAGCTTGTTAATAAGCCTCTGACATCACCTTAGGTCATGATCTCATGGTTCAGGGGTTTTGAGCCCCCGTTAGGCTCTGTGCTGACAGCTCAGGGCCTAGAGCCTGTTTCAGATTCTGTCTTCCTCTTTCTCTGCCCCTCCCTGCTCATGCTCTGTCTCTGTCTCTCTCTGTCTTTCAAAAATAAATAAACATAAAAAAAAACAAACCACACCTATTTGTCATAGCTCTAGCTCTTAGCATAATGTATGGTTTAATAGTAGTAGTCAGTGAATGTTTATTGAGTGAGCAAAATAATGAGTAATGTGGTAATAATTCATTATGCATTATTTCTTTAATTTTATAAGTACTTAAAGGTGGCTCTTCCTTATTAGCCTTTATCAGTATGATATTCATCAGAACCCTCTGATTATATTATACATGTACATTTACTTTTGTTTTTTGCGCTGTTTTGTCCCTAAAGTGAATTACAGTACCCTTTAGTGGGACAAAGAGTATATTATCGGTTACTGTTGACTTGTTCTATTTTTGCTTTCATCCTTCTGATACTTCGTGTTGTGGTTATATTTTACTGTTTTAGTACTATTTCCTTATTCCCTTACATTGTGGCTTTCAGACCTAACTTACATCAGAATCACCTGGATGCTGCTTAAAATACAGATTTCTGGGCCCTATGTGTAGAGTTTCTGATTCAGAAACTCTGGTGTGGAGCTCAGTAATTTGCAATGCAAACAAGTTCCCCTGTAAAAGTGCTGCTAGTCGATGGAGCTGTGTTTTGAAAATCACTGCTCTAACACAGTAGGCTAACTAAGACTACTGAAGTAAAAAAAAATAATGCACATGGAATAAACTTGGTCTGTTTTTTGGAGATTCTTTTTACATGCTCAGAATTCTTAAATTTTATTTCATCAGGTTTGAGAAACTACAGGAAAAGCCACATAGAGGATGACTCTTCTGTCAACAAGCCACATTTTAGTACTTGTTTTTATTTCATATATCTTAGTATATCTGTCATATTCATCCGTTTTACTGTTACATCTTAACCAGGCTTTTACTGTCTGTTGCATAAATCTCTTTGGTAGTCTGCTGAATGTTAGGTTTTTGGTTTTGGTCTCTTTTAATCCTGTTCCATTTTGGGAGGGAATGACAGGCAGATTTAGGGTGCAGAAAAAATGTTTCAGAGAGAATCCGTGTCATGTGTAAAGTTCTAGAATGAAGAATGAGGAAGGTTGTATTGAGGAACTGAAAGAAAATTTTAATAATGAGTGGAATACAGAGCAAGAGGAGAATGTTGGTGTAAAATGAAGTTTGGGTAGGAGCACCTGAGTGGCTCAGTTGGTTAAGCATCCGACTCTTGATTTCGGCCCAGGTCATGATTTTACGGTGGTGAGATTGAACCCTGCATGGGGCTCCACGCTGGACATGGAGCCTGCTTAAGATTCTC